AAATCTAATGTTTAGAACATACAACGGGTATGTGATTCTGCCTTCATTCGGGACTTACATTTTGTTCTTTTCAATATCAATTTCAAGAATGCATGGTTGTCAATGCAGGCTGGGGCACTATACAATCCCTGAAGAGACTGATGACGTTTGTACTTGGCTAACTGCAAGTTTGGGGCTCGAGGGATCCCGATCATACTAAGATCGGTGAATGGCGAGGTGACACGGGGAATACAAATGAGGAGATTATTATAAAAGACGATTAGAAGAGGCATACTAGAATAGGTTGTGGTATTGGGTATATTATACATACGGTAGTGGCATTTCTTATAGCTTCTATTGCCGTATAATCTCCCTTCTCCTTTCTGTTGCTTTCTTTTTCTTCAAATAATGTCCTAGCTGAGGCTCACTCGTGTACTTGGGCGCTGGTTGCTATGAGATTTGTATGGGCGCTCTCGGTTCGGGTGGGGTATGGGAGCTAGATAGAGTCTCTTTCTCCGCATCCACCAAATTTTGTTGTTTTGATAATAAATTAATTGAATATATTTCTCCGTGCATCACCCCTAGCATTTGAATTGGTTGTTGGTGCATGTAAACTGGAAGATGATGAAAGTTTTAGCCTTCACACTTCTATACAGTTTCAGCCTTCAACACAAGCGGAAAGGCTATAATGAGGGCTTAAAGTGAGGAGGTTATTTGAGGAGGTCAAATTTCACCATCAATAAATGTAAAGAAATCATGGGACTTAAATATTTTAAATGTTTTGACGGTCGGATCGGTCTCCTCACTTTAACTCCTCACTTTAACTCCTCATTGTAGAAGTCCCCCAACACAAGTGCTTCATTTTCCAAAGCCAATTAGAGTGGTTGTAAGTTGGGCCTAAAGTTAAAATATATGATATCTTGCTTGGTCCATAGGCCTGGATTAACCGATGGATTCTCCAGATCCATAAGACTAGCCTGGATTACCACTCAAATTAACCCTTCCCAGCCCTCAAGTCCACAACCCAAATCTATTTGAATATCATGAGCAATTCCCTCTAAATTACAGAAACGGTAACTAAAAGCATGAGCAAAACACAAACTATATGGTTTACAAGCCACTTCTAGCTAAAACACGTTGTCTCATTCTTCCCTTTTCCCACCTAAACATATTCTCCCTAATTTTAGTAGTTTTTAAGAGGAAAAAGAAAAAGAAATGTAATAATGTCGAACCGATCATATCGAAGTATAGGATATCCTAATAATTGATTAGGGCCAAAGTATTTATTGAATAAAACATAAGTTATACTATAAGATCGTCATTTGCTTGCCCAAAGATGCATATTTAATAATGGCGTGTCAGCTGATCTGATATACAAGAAAGTGGCAACACAGTGGAAAGGGAAGCAACGACTATAATCCAATAACCATGAAAATGTTCCCGAACTTAAATTACAAAAAAAATAAATAATAAAAAAACAATTTTCCCAGAATTGGGACAATTTCAGTGTATCCATAGCCTCTAACCATAGAGGATTTAACCTAATTGAACAATTGAAAGATTTAATATAACAGAGAAATGCTAATCATGAGAAAGAAGATGACAATGTTGTGTTTCCCATTTTCTGCAACAACCTTCAGAAATTCAGCCACTTGGTACACCCACCTATATACCAATAAATGACGACTGTGATCATTATACATATACGGAATAAAATTATATATGATATCTTAAGACGTTTCCATATTCAAACCTGACAACGATTCAACCCACATAACGTTTCAACAAATGTTCTCTGGGCCCAAGTGCGAAAAGTAAACACCAGTGACACCTTGAAGTAAACTGAAACAAGAAACATGTGAAGATTAGCATTATTGATGACAACTTTAGAACTATGTATTAATAGCATTTGTTAGAATGATGAGGGCTCACCGTGGACTCCATAAATGTTGATCATTTCTTTTTACCCTTATCTTGAAGATTACTCATGTTCTGAATGATACTACTGCCTTTGGAACCAATACAAGGGGTAAGGGGTGGGAACGAAGGGACAGCCTTCAATATGAACTTGCGGCCACTTCTCAAGGCCCCTGAAGAGCTTGCACCAAGCTCGTGATTGTGGCTGTGAGGAGGAGAAACCCGCTTCTTATTGGGGGAACTTACTTTCAATGACCTAATCGGAGTAGAAGAGTCCTTCAGTATCTCAGGGGTGTCATCTTGCAGAATGTCATAAAGTCCATTTTCAAAGTCAAGACCTTGGCAAGATTTCGTCCCACCTAACCGAGTCATTGGGGTGACTGGTGAACTACGCCTATGAAGAGAACTATCAGATGACAGACCGTGACTTCCAGGGCACAGCTGAACTTGTGAAGCATTTGTCCAGTCACTTGTTTTGGATGATGCTGAAGACACCATGGCCATTGAGCAAAGATCTGACATTGGAGTAATATGGCAGGTAGTGGGGGCTGCATCGCATCTTGGTGAAAAAGTGTCCGCTATTCCAATGTTATCATAATCCACACGCCAATTGTAAGAACCTAAATCTGATAATTCTTTACTTGTTTCCAAAAGAATGTCACTGCTCTCTGAATGTCTCAGAGGGGATCTTGTAGATTTTTCATAAGATGATATGATGGAAAGATCAGATTCGGGTGATGGAAGGTAACTTGTAGGAAGGCACAGGGATTTCGGTACATTATTTGCATGGCTAGACAAAAAATAAAATGAACAATAAAGAATTAATCAGGGATCAGATTATGATTTAGCATTTCAGGATAATTGAGACTTTTTTGAAACAAAGGAAAATTGGGACTTCAAAGTCAACGAATCTTACTCTGAGCACTGAAATGATGGCGCCAATGGAGTGAGGTTGTGAGAATCGTACAACTCTGTAGACAAAATATCTTTCTTTGTTGCCACCATTTCCAGCTTCTCATCAAATGTGCTCTCTATTCTTTCCTTCCCGGCTTTGTCACTAACGTTGTCTTTACCCACACCATGCTCTATTGGAATATACTCTATAGGAAAGGAGATTGATTTACAGAGTTAAGTTACAAATAGAGATTTAATTGATAACCTTTTTCACACGATTTTTCTAGTTTACTTTCACAAGCCCATCTTTTTGAGGCATTATAGACAAAAGTAACTTCTAAAATACAAGTACATCATATACTATATTCCATTGTCAGACAATTTTCTGTGTTTTGTTTCTAGATTGTCTATCAAGACGATGATCAAGTGAAATCTTGTTTTAACAAATTGACAACACAACATACCAGACTATCTGGCAAGAAGACACTATTCTAAAGTTCTATATACTATGAATTGAATATTCTTTGTTGTCCATAGTACAAAGGGTAAAGCTACAAACTTTATCACGTGGAATTAAGAAACACATTTTCTTGGTTTAGAGTCTAACCTCCCTTCCTGCCATAAACATTTTTACATCCATCACACCGGCATCCACTGGAGCATCCAACATTTGCCTTTAAAATGAAGCAACTCAAGAGTTTAGGATGAATTGAAAAGGAAAAGATAAGATACACTGTGGCAGAGAAATATAGAAACAAAATTCAAGACCTGATAGCATTCACAATATTTTTTAAGACACATTGACTTTTTGCAATTGCACCCTCTTTTGTGTCTTGCCGAGGATGGCGTGAATTGAATTTCTTCTTCCTGTCATGAGTAAATACAATCATCAAGTTTCTAAAGAAAGCTATACAATCAGAATCAGTATTATATTGAAAGGGTTTAGTACCACAATATTTTTGGAAACTCACATGCTGTACAATCTTGGGAGCAAATGCAAGTGGATTACGAGATTCAATATGTTGCCTTGTCTCAAGAACTGTATCTTCATAATCGGTTATATTGAAGCATCCTTGGCAAGCACAAGATTCGGCACAATAGACTCCAGCAGCAAAACAATCACAATAACTGCACAGCAATGTATTAAAATGTGACAAATAAATACACACTTATGAATTTCCTAGGACACAAAGTAGATCAACTTACAGTTTCAAGCATTTGGTCTTCTTACAGTTGCAACGTTTGGTACCATCACTATCTTTAGTGCTTGATGTTTTTTTCCTGTATGGTCATACACGAACACATTTGAACCACAGACAATATGAAGAATGAATCCTACCACACTAAATGAAAGACCATGCCTCTGACCTTTTCTTTTTTGGACTAGATTGCTTGCACTCCTCATAATCGTCAACATTCTCAGCATCAAATCCCCTCTTCTCATGTGTAGGCCCATGACACTCAAATACCACAGTGTGAGGAGACTGGGGAACGGCAGAACTTGCAGCAATTGAAGTCTCAGATTCATCCCTGTCTTCAGGACCAGCGGAGTCTTTCTCAACCATATTCAATGAAATTGAACGGCACCTCACATTATCTTGCAAATGGGAGCTCATAACAGATGCTGATTTCATAACTTGCACACCAATGTAGTGATCTGCTAATTTTATGCTTCTTGTTGTACCACGAACCAGTGGTGCAGCATTGACTATGCTGTTTAGATGCAAGCCAATACCTGATGGCTTGGGAACAGTTGAAGGAGAGTTTCCACCAAACTGAGGTGGCAATGGGGTGCCCATCTGTCTCTTGGAAGTTGCCTTTAAGTCCGCATAAGATAATTTCACCAACTTCGATTCTCCCGTGCCGGAAGGTGGTTCTGAATAGTTAACCTCCTGCATAGAACTCAAAGAACAGTCTCTTTTTCCAGTGGCACAAGGAGGAGCCTCTTCAAACTGAAGGCAACGTCTATGCATGCCACCTTGTTCACTTCTGGCCTACATTGACCTTGCAGTTACTCTACTATGAAAGTAAATAAATCCTAGCAGGATACAATAACCAAAAAGAAAAGGCCAGCTACTTTTGCAGGCATGTGCTTGCACTACACTAAAGGAATAATACTTCCAGCAAATAAAGGAAAAGATAAAGGAAGAGGGAGAAATCATGCTAGCTAGAAACATATCTTCGTATCTTTAACTTGGTTAATTATAAAGAAAAGACGTGCTCAAAGGAAAATGTGATTCTCGATTCCCAAAAAGGGGTACATTGGAGATTGCTCATTGTGCATTAGAATTCAGATGTAATGGCATACCTTAGGAGCATGCAATATCATGTTCCCAATCATTCCTTTGGATATTGCACCAACATTCTCAGCAGAATTTTCATACACCTGAACAATCTGCAAACGTCCAGTAGGAGATTGAGGGGTATGATCACAATCATCCTCATGTTTACCTCCTCTATCCTGTAACTTAAAAGTTGGATTGATTGTAAGAACATGTGGAACAATCACATAATTTCTCCACAAATAATAGTGCAGTTCTTTCACTGTTTTTATTTTTATAATGTAAAGCCAAGAATCTGCAATTACCTGATCATGCAAATGTTGGCGATATTCTCTCTTGTAAGCATTATTGACGGATAAACCAGATTCAATATTTGGGCATTCATCATATGGCAACTCCCCATCACTTTGCTCTATAATTTTCACAGGCTTTGCATCAAATGTTTGCTTTCCTTCAAGGTCCTCTTTAGCCTGCTCTGATGGTGCCTTAGCTTCTGTCCCTAAGTCTGTTCCAGTATTATGTTTGTTGTCATATAAAGTAGTTTCCTTTGAGCCAGTGAATGTTTCCGGCACATTGTTTGATTGTTTCAAACATGGACTGGCTGATTGAGTAGAGTCTACAGAGTCTACTTCTGAGGGATCAGCTAAGTATTCATCCACACCCTCTGAGGAGCTGCATTGCTGAGATTCCACACGAATCTTAGTCTCACAGTCCCGAGAATCAGTAATCAATCTCATATGCAATTGGGTAATTTTGGGATCAACTGGACCATCAAGGAATTTCTTGGCTTCATCCTGTGTTTTACGCTTTTCTGCACTGGATAATGGTTGATATTGAGGCCTGATCAATCACAAATTTGTTAAGTCAACAAAGAGACGTCTACAAAAAATGGAACTAAAAATTCAAGAAATCTTGGACCTTTTTAGGAAACTTGTATCCCGGTGTGAATTTATACGCGGTGACGTGAACACAAGAGGAGGAGAGTTGAGTCCAGGGAACCCTTGTGCTAAATGTGAAGCCTTCACAGGCTGTATTGGTGATAGATTGTTTATGTAACTGAAAACTGGTGAGTCCTGAATCAAAGAAAAAAAATACATGAACAAATTCTCATTTCACAAACAAGTCTGACAAACTCCAAATGACTCAACTCAAGGTTTGATCAACAATCACTCAGCAGAAAGCCGATTGCACACTGAAAGACCCTAAAATCACAAATTGAACTTCTCCAAACACCACTAAACTCCCAATTTCAAAGTCCCAAAACCCTAAGTCCACCGACTACCAAGCACCAACCCCACCAACCTCAACCCACAAAAATTAAACTAAAACCCATATCCGTTAATTAACCAATGCACAAAAAAAAAACCCCAAAAAAGAGTAGGTAAAGATCTACAATTAGCATAATATGAAAGCAACAGACCATAATCCAAAAAGAGAAGGAACGAAATTTATTTGTAAGTAAAATTGAGAAAACGCAATTTACTTGAACTGGAGGAGAATCTGAGGAAGACGTGGTGTTGGCTTTGATTTTTCTAATTTCAGGTGAATCCATGGCGTGAACCCGTAGACTTAACCCAAACCCTAACCCTAAAATCCTCCGGCTGCATTTTCTTTTTCCCCACTTTACTAACTTCTTCTGAAACCGATGGTGAGAAAATGGGAGACTGAGAAATGGAGTTTTTACAAATTTTTTTATAAGTTTTGTAAATTTGTTTTTCTCGCTTAAAAAGAAAATAAAAAGAGAGAGACGTTTAGGCAGAAGCGGCGGGATTTAAAAACCAAAGCGGGAATTGTGATTAATGTGGACTGGAGGCAATTGGGCTGGGCTGGGCTGGCCCTGGCCCAAAATTATGAATTTAAGATTTGAAAATTTGATGGATATTATATGGATTTATTATGTGCCTACAAACTAGGCTCCACTCATTATCAAATCCAATTTACATAACGTTTACTATATTTGCGTAGATATTTATTTAATTGAATAAAAAAATTTGAAATTGTCAAGAATGAACCCAACTTTGTCTCATGATTCATTCTTTTAAAAAAAGATTTTAAAACTCTTCAAAGGTTTGTTAAATAAAAAACACAGATTTACATTTTGAGTTTTGCTATAAATAAATATATGTGTTTGAGATATATATGCTCCTTGAGTTTCAAATTTATTTTAGTTGTATGGTGATAGAAAGATAAGAATTGTTTGATGTCTCCAAGGCTGTAACTTTTGATACTCATCAATTTAGTTATGTAATGATAAGTATTTGTATTCTATCACAATAAAAAGGTTCTTATTTTATTCTATGAAATATAAGCTACAAAGGTTGTTGACCTATATGCCTTAGGTCAGAATCGAGTCGCTTCGGATTTGACTATTCAGTTGGAATCAGGGCCGGCTCTTGGTCAGGGCAACTAGGGCCAACGCCCGGAGCCCACAATTGAGAAAGGCACAAAAAAAGAGAGTGCATATATATATATACACATATGCAAAAAAAAAAAAAAAAAAAAAAAAATCTTCATAAAAACATAAAATAAAAACTAAAAGTAAAGGGGCATGTGTGATAATTATTGAGAGTCTTACTTGGTAGTATAAAACAATAATAAATAAAGGCACACACATATGCAAACAAATCTAGAAGGAAAGCGAAGTTACATTATTGTCTTCCCAAGAACCAGACGGAGACTCTTGAAATGAATCGAATTTTATTTTTGTTCTCTCCGAAATTGAGTGCGAAAACAAAGCCATTTTGAGTTGGAAACTGATTGTTCTCTATGAAATTGGGAGCATTAGCACCAGAGCACAACATACAATACCCAAAATACAAGTTTTGTTGTTCTTTCTAAATTAAAATTATTAAAATCTTATTTGGGGACCATCATAGCTCAAGATAGACTAAATGGACTAGCAATATTATGCATTAAAAGAGATATGGAAAATTTGATGGATATTATATGGATTTATTATGTGCCTACAAACTAGGCTCCACTCATTATCAAATCCAATTTACATAACGTTTACTATATTTGCGTAGATATTTATTTAATTGAATAAAAAAATTTGAAATTGTCAAGAATGAACCCAACTTTGTCTCATGATTCATTCTTTTAAAAAAAGATTTTAAAACTCTTCAAAGGTTTGTTAAATAAAAAACACAGATTTACATTTTGAGTTTTGCTATAAATAAATATATGTGTTTGAGATATATATGCTCCTTGAGTTTCAAATTTATTTTAGTTGTATGGTGATAGAAAGATAAGAATTGTTTGATGTCTCCAAGGCTGTAACTTTTGATACTCATCAATTTAGTTATGTAATGATAAGTATTTGTATTCTATCACAATAAAAAGGTTCTTATTTTATTCTATGAAATATAAGCTACAAAGGTTGTTGACCTATATGCCTTAGGTCAGAATCGAGTCGCTTCGGATTTGACTATTCAGTTGGAATCAGGGCCGGCTCTTGGTCAGGGCAACTAGGGCCAACGCCCGGAGCCCACAATTGAGAAAGGCACAAAAAAAGAGAGTGCATATATATATATACACATATGCAAAAAAAAAAAAAAAAAAAAAAAAAAAAAAAAAAAAAAAAAAAAAAAAAAAAAAAAAAAATCTTCATAAAAACATAAAATAAAAACTAAAAGTAAAGGGGCATGTGTGATAATTATTGAGAGTCTTACTTGGTAGTATAAAACAATAATAAATAAAGGCACACACATATGCAAACAAATCTAGAAGGAAAGCGAAGTTACATTATTGTCTTCCCAAGAACCAGACGGAGACTCTTGAAATGAATCGAATTTTATTTTTGTTCTCTCCGAAATTGAGTGCGAAAACAAAGCCATTTTGAGTTGGAAACTGATTGTTCTCTATGAAATTGGGAGCATTAGCACCAGAGCACAACATACAATACCCAAAATACAAGTTTTGTTGTTCTTTCTAAATTAAAATTATTAAAATCTTATTTGGGGACCATCATAGCTCAAGATAGACTAAATGGACTAGCAATATTATGCATTAAAAGAGATATGTTGGAAAACATTAAATATGATAATATAATTGATGATTTTGCTTCTAATACTTCAACAAGAAGACATTTTAAATGATCTTTTGTGATTGGGATTTCATTACTATTTTTATTTAGTAGGTGCATATGAAAGTGAAGCTTGGAGACACACATGCAAGTTAATTTGTTGTTGAATGTAATGTTTTCAATCGGGTACTCTTTTTCCTTCATTTGAGGTTTTGTTCACATTAGGTTTTCCTTAAAAAAGGTTTCAATGAGGACCAAAGTGTTGTATGTATTATCGATTTTTGTACTCTCATAATTTTAGTAAAATTTTATTTGATATAAAATTGTAATTTTATTTATTTATTTATTTATAAAGGGCACATTCTTAGACTCTGGCCCAAGGCCTTAAATCACCCAGGGCCGGCCCTGGTGGGAATGATTTTCTTCATAAGTTCTTGTCATTTCATGAGTGAGAATTTGACATATAGCTGGAGATGCTTTACAAAGGATGTTATTTTAACCTTCCCAAACAACATCTAGAAGACTAGAAGTGTTCGGAATTTATATTCCTAAAACTTGAATGTGAGGTTGCATGCAACATATTCAATCTTTCCTTTCAGAATAAATAACCACACAAAAAAACCAAAAAACAAAACAAAACAAAAGGTTGACTAATGAGCCAGCCAACCTGCATTAATTATGCGGCCGCAAGAAATATTGTATTAATTGGAAACCCAAATACTAGCTAAGCTCCTCCTAGCTGTCTTCATCTACACCTCTTGCTTATGACTTACTTCATGATCAGCTTTGAACCTTCATCTGTAAATGGCCATGTTTCTTCTTCCTCTTATAATTTACTTAACATCATTCTCTATCTTCTTTCCATCTCCATCTCATGCAGCAGACACACTCACACCTTCAGACACTTTGAGAGACAATCAAACCCTGGTCTCAGCCGGAGGAGTTTTCGAGCTCGGCTTCTTCAGCGATTTAATTTCAGGAAACCACTATCTGGGAATTTGGTTCAAAGCTGATGCTGCCAAGGTTGTTTGGGTTGGTAACCGCGAAGCCGCCATATTAGATTCCTCCGGTGTGCTCCAAATTCGATCAGGAAATCTGCTTCTCTCCGACCGCCGGCAGCTGCAAGTCATAGTCAACTCAGCAAATGTTGCCTCCTCCCCCAACACAATCGCAACACTTCTTGACACCGGAAACTTTGTTCTTAAAGAAGAAGATACAGGCATGTTCTGAAATTTCGATATTATCTTCGATATTTCTCTTTTTAGCAACTACCCCTATTAGATACAGCAATATATATATATATATATTTTCTTACATTGATATTTACTACTTTTGATGTCTACAGATACTGTTATATGGCAAAGTTTCGATGTACCAAGTGATACATATCTTCCTGGGATGAAACTAGGGTTGTTTGGCCAAAACACAACCCAACCAAGCTTTCACTTTCTGGTTTCTTGGGTAAGCCCCCAAAACCCTGCTCGTGGCCTCTTTACTTTAACCCTGGATCAGGCCAACTCCACAAAGGTGGTGGTTTGGAGAGGAGATGGACGCCATATGGATATCGCTTTCTGGGACGGGCACAACCTAAGGTTCATTTTTGACAACACAAGTAGCAAAAATGACTACAATTTTAGCTACCACCCCATTGGAGAAGAAGATGCCTACTACACTTTTAGCAAGGGAAGATACGATCTCATGTGGTTTGTGATGGCTTCAACTGGAGATTTGGACCAGTTTTTCTTATTGGATGGAAATATTTGGTCTATAAGTCATCGTTTGTGTGAAGACTTCGCTGGGGGTAATACTGGAAAGTGCTTGAGTTCATTGCCATCTATATGTGAGAATGGTGATAGCTTTTCTGTGATGAATGGTTCGTTGCCATCTACGTTTAATAGTGGTGGCTGGATTAATATGGGAACTAGCGATTGTGAAACTTTGTGCAAGAGCAATTGTTCTTGTACTGCATTTGTTTCGGTTCAGAATGGTCAACAAGTTTGCCAACTTTATTATCAGAGTAGAAAGGATCTTTTGAAGATTGTGAAGAAGGGGCCAGGTATTGTTTACATTCGTGGTGGTGCTACTTCTTCAAGTGGTAAGTACAAAATCATCCTATAGTTTTACGAATTCAAAGGCCCTATTGACTTTTGACTCGAGGGATGGTTTTGGTTTTTAGACTCATTCCTTTAAAAAAAAAATCAAAACTCTTTTCGAGCCAACGGAGTGGACTTCGGTTTATAATCGAAATCTCTTCAAATCGTAATAAAAAAGGGTTTTAGTTTGGTCAACTTAAGATTCGAATGTTTGGTGTTTTATTATCTGCTTTGCCGGCGCATGTTATATATACTATCAAATTGTCACTTTTAAATCACAAATTTTGATAAAGATTTACTTGGATGAATAACTCACATTAGTCGAAGTAAAATGGAACATTCCTATGTGTATTATATAGTTGCCACTAAGTTAATTAACAACCAAATATTTTTAAATAGTAAACGAATCAATTAAATACCTTTTTTTTTGTGCCATGGATCGATGGTGATTAATCAGTTATTGAATTTAAATTCTTATCTTGGTGCATAGTTTAGTCAGTAATAATGTTGTTTATAGGAAGGTCGTCCTAGCTGCTTTGGAATTCTTTGGTTTGCTTGTTTGACTTTATGTAATTGAATGTGTTTTTATACAAGACGACCATAGATCATAATCTCACCAAATTAATCTGGAATCATATGCCTGTTCAATAGCGTAGCTTGCAGTTTTATATAATATATAAAAGCCAGTTGGAGTTAATTATGATATGCTGGCAAATAAGAAACGGTCCAATCTGGAGAGATGTCAAACTGGATTAAGACTCGCGACTTATTGCTTTCGGATAATTAAAAAAGAGACAGTCTATTTTCTTTTAAATTTTGGAAAAATCTTATATATATATATATATATATATAATATCATTAAGGCACATCCCATTCAGAGATCGTCCTTGTAAAAAATCATGCAAATTGAAAATCATTAAGGTATCTCATTGAGATCGACAAAATTAATGAATTGTTGGTTGTAGCAAAGATTTAGGCAAATTTCGTGTTTTAGTTCCATCAATTTTGTTAGAGTTATTAGTCCTTTGTGTACAGCAAGAAATGTTAAATACTTACCAACAAAATGGTGGCATTGTTCAGATGGGAAGAAATGGAGACTCTGGTTGGCTATCGCAGTTCCCTTGGCTTCTCTCTTGGTTCTTATCCCAATCTTCTCATTCTGCTACCTGAGTTGCAGAAAGGGGCGCAAAGGTTTGAGTTTAGTTTGATTGTTATGTTGCATTGCTGAATGTAATTGTTGTCATTAAATTGTTTTTTCTTTTTTCCTTTCTGGCAAAAGGTTGGCATTAAAATTGGGCAGTGCTATTTCAGCTCTTTGTTAGAATTTCAATTTTCCGTATAAGGAAATGCTTATAACTCAAATGGTTAAGAGGGATTTACGTATGCAATCACGTTCAGTACTCTAAAAAAATTGTATTGTTTTTGTGTGTGTATTATATATATGTACAATAATAAAAGAAAATGTCAACGATTTTTTTCCCATGACTTTCCTTGTCATGTTTTTGCCACACCATAATACATTTCTTGGTCTAATTGACTATTTAATATGACCAGATCAAGCAACCAGACATGAAGGGATTATCCATTCAGATCAAGTGAGATTATTCCAAATGGGCTCCACCAATGCGTCGCCAATTCAATATGATGAAGTTAGAATTGCAAATATGATGGAATTAGGCAGGCAGAAGGATCAAGAACTGCCCTTGTTTAGTTTCTCCACCATACAGACTGCAACAAATGACTTTGCCAAGGCTACCAAACTTGGTGAAGGTGGATTTGGGCCTGTCTATAAGGTAAGCCATCACTTCTGTGCTTGACATTATATTCGGATAATTATCATTTGGCCAATTGTCAAGAATGAATTAATAAGACTTCTTAACCATCAACATGTTTTATATATTTTGATAATTGCAGGGTTTGCTACCAGAAGGGCAGGAAATCGCAGTGAAAAGGTTGTCCGAAATTTCGAGGCAAGGGTTGGAGGAGTTCAAAAACGAAGTCTCAGTAATTTGTAAACTGCAACACAGGAATTTGGTTAGGCTTTTGGGATGCTGCATTGAAGGAGAAGAAAGCATACTGATTTATGAGTACATGCCAAACAAAAGCCTGGATTCTTTCATTTTTGGTTCGTAAGCTCTTGACATGTTCTATATATATGTTTCATATGTTGATCTTGTAAATCCTTTTTCCTATTTTAATTTTTCTTTTTGTTACAAATCGGTGCAGATTCAACCAAACGGTCAATTTTGGATTGGAGAAGGCGCATGCACATCATCGAAGGGATTGCTCAAGGCCTTCTATATCTTCACAAATATTCAAGATTAAGGATCATTCACCGCGACTTAAAAACGAGCAATATTCTGTTGGATAGTGACATGAACCCAAAGATATCTGATTTTGGCATGGCAAGAATCTTCACGGACAATGACACTAAAGGAAAAACAAGCCGGGTTGTTGGTACATTGTAAGTAGATGTTCTGCAACATGTTCTTTTTAAGGTTCACACGCAATTGGTCTTCATATATATATGGTTTTCCCTTTTCAAATTCAGTTTCTAATGCATTTTAACCTCTAATTCTTAGTGGTTATATGTCTCCGGAGTATGCCATGGGCGGCCTCTTTTCTGAAAAATCAGATGTGTTTAGCTTTGGGGTAATCTTATTAGAGATCATAAGTGGCAAGAAGAACGTTGCCTTATTTGAGGTTGATAATCAGCTAAACTTACTCGGCAATGTAAGCAACTTATATAAACCCATGGAAATGTGTTCTTTAATTATAAATTTCTGCTAACTATGATTTTTGAAACTGAGTTATTATTTCAGGCCTGGAATCTGTGGAAAGAAGGCAAGAGCATGGAATTGGTAGATTCAACATTGACTGCTTCTTGTTCAAGCCGTGAAGTTACCAGATGCCTTCAGATGGGACTTCTGTGTGTGCAAGAAAGAGCTACGGATCGACCAACCATGGCGGATGTTGTTTCGATGCTAAGCAATGAAACAATAGCCATGGCGCTTCCCAAAGAACCTGCATCATGGAGTCAGCTAAGTTCCAGTGATGCAGATTCGTCGTCGAGTAGGCAAAGACACCACTCTACATTTGATATGACGATTTCAGGAGTGCACGGAAGGTAGCGAGGCAATGTTTTTTCAGAAAAAAAAATTGTTCACTTACAATTATACTGCTGTTTGGTGTAGTCTGTAGAGTTTGTTCCACTTGTATCAAAGTTGTAATATATAGCAAATATTTCTATTTAATAGTTGGTTAATACAGAAATCTAATTCAGCCCGCCAAAATAGATTTATCTGAGTTCTTCCTCTATATGACTTTCAATTTGTCAAGCCAAAATAAACAAACAAATTGATTAATTGTAACTTCGACCTAATGCTGTGCTAGACATATGAACCCTGATATCGTAGTGGTACAGGAAAAATGATTTCAGTCAGGCATTTTGTCGAACAGTTTCTTAAATCATAGGATTTCAAGAAAGCAAATCCCTCTCAGCCATTTCATTAAACACTTCCGGCATCCATAGGACCCCCCCCACATTAGCTCCTATCATTCTCACATCTTTGGTTCTTTTTTCTTTCTTTTTCTTTTCTCTGTTCAAAAGGTACAAACCACCAACTTGCCACTTGCGGGTTCCCCCGTGTGTTGCATGTCAATTATGTTTGTTATTTTTCCAGGAAAATAGTTGGCTTGACAAGAATGGATTCACATGTGTATTCATAGTGTTTTTTTTTTTGGCCATAGTTTGGATGAGGATGGGGGAAACTCACACACACGAGTAACATGAGAGTTTGAACTTAGGACCACTTGAAAGTACACCAAAGGCCTGAACCAATCCAACTATTACACTCCATAATTAGTATGTGTATTCATAGTTGACATTTCGATTTTACTGCATATATAACTACATATATGTTAAGCCTAGAAAAGGGATGCTCCAATTATATTATATCCTTTAAAACTACATAACCATTACCCTCGTTCAGTAGTCATATATGTATCAAACAAATCGAAGATTTTCGTAACATTTAAGATATTATACATATGAATGACTAAAGAATTTGCAATTTGGTTGATTTCTTGCACATATGATATTTAAATGGTAATTTTGAAAATGAACCGGTTTTGACGTGTGTACACGGGGGGGATCAGAAAGTCCGCCTCATAGCATTGACCTAACTTATTTTATGTATATAGATATATCGTTCCTTTCAAAATAAATAGAATAGTTGACTAATGAACCTGCATATCAATCAGGAGAAACTTCCAAGTCTTCCCATCTTAGACCTTACTACCTTCAATTAATATTGATTGGCTTTAAATCATCTCTCATCTGTAATGGCCATGTCTCTTCCTCTTCTTTGCTTGATATCATTCTTTAGCTTCTTTTTATTCTCATCTCATGCAACAGACACACTTGCATCTTCAGACAAATCTGGAGACAACCAAACCCTGGTCTCATCTGAGTGCAGCGATGGAGCTAATTTTTCTAAGATGACTGGTTCGCTGCCATCTACGAGTGGTGTTTCCGTTAGTAGTATTGGTATTTCTGATTGCCAAACTTTGTGCAAGACCAATTGTTCTTGTGCCGGATTCGCTTCTCTTCAGAATGAATCAACATGTCAACTTTATTATGGGAGTAAACAGAATCTATTGAAGATCATAGAGAAAGGGGCAGGGCTTATTTACATCCGTGATCGTGCTTCAAGTGGTAAGTCTAATCAAAACTCGGGAACTCCATTCCTTAAATTTCAAACGGGGAATAAGAATGAGTTCCAAAATAAATGAGCATATATATAATAATAATAAAAAACACAGAAAAGAAAATATTACAAAAAATGTATAATGATGAAATATGAAGTTGTTCAATTTACTTGTCTAGGTAATAAGAAGGATAGTCTCTGGTTAATTGTGGCGGTTCCTTTGGCTTCCCACTTGGCTTTTGTTTCAATCTCGTTATATTGTTTTGTGCGTTGGAGAAGGTGGCGTAGAGGTATGAGTTTGATTTATCAAGTTGATTTCTTTTTTTGGTCGAAAATCAAGTCGATTTATTAGGGATGTGGATTCAAACTTGTAACATATTTCAATCTTGAAAAGTAGAGAAGTGTCGAGCTAATTGTGTTGGTTATCATCAGGTTGAGTTCTAAACATAATTCTTGGAATTAAAAAAAAGTTGATGCAACTTACAATTAAATGATCATTTACCACGTGGTAAAGGATCCTTTAATTATTATATGTTTTGAATATAAGTGATAGTCTAAACTACAAGATGAATGCGGAGTTTCATACACTACCAAGGTGCCATAGAGGTTCGAATCTGAGACCACTAGTTTGCAAGTCAAGACCCTTTTACGCTTAGCTAGACCTCGTTATCCTTTTCATTATTATATTATCCTATAATGGTAGGCTCACTATTTTAATTTATCTGATGTCACAGGCATTATATTTATGCTATTTAACGAGAATAAATTAGTAAGCTAATGACGAATATGGCCTTAATGGGAAAATATCAATGATTTTTATGGTCTGATTATATTGAAACCAGAAGATCAAGCAAGGAGACGAGAAGAAGGCATTATCAATCCTGATCATGAAGGTAGCGGTGCAATTAACATGAATGTAGGCAGACAGAAGGATCAAGAATTGCCCTTTTTTGGTATTTCTACAATAAAGGCTGCAACAAATGACTTTGCCAAGGCTAATAAACTTGGGGAAGGTGGATTTGGGCCTGTCTATAAGGCAAGCCATCAATTAACTCCTTACTTTACGTAGCTCATAATGACAATTTTTATTTCTTATTACCAAAATCTTCTTAATTAAATTTTATTACAGCAACATGTATGCGTTATGGAAATTGCAGGGCAAGTTGCTTCCACAAGGACAAGAAATTGCAGTGAAAAGGCTGTCCAAAATTTCCAGGCAAGGGTTGAATGAGTTCAAAAACGAAATTTCAGTAATTTGCAGGCTCCAGCACAGGAATTTGGTTAGGCTTTTGGGATGTTGCATTGAAGCAGAAGAAAGTATACTGATTTATGAGTACATGCTGAAAATGGTACTTAGGTGACAAGGGGTAAACTTAATCACACAAACAAGACACAACAACACAGCAAGCTTCACACACTTTAAACCTAGACCAAATACGCATATGACTAGTCAACTACTAGTCAAGAAACAATCGCAACCAATAGAATGCACAGAGCATGCCACAATGTACCTGCAGTCCTAGAAGATTACTAGTGACAACCTAGGCACTCAGAAGGACCCGTCAATCTAGGCATCCCCTGTGCTAGCAACAACTATGGTGAAAGTGTGTGAAATCATCATTATCATGTAATCATCAAACAGCAGATACAGATGACTAGTCAACCACCAAGAACACAAACCCAGAAAAATTACAGATATGCAAAACAAATTTTGTTCACCCAGAAACCCACCATTGGGAAAAACTGGGAGTCATCAACCGACCAGGCATTCCACTAAGTAGAAAAAGATTCTTACAAAGGAAACACAACCAAGCTCAAGAAGCACCTAGGTCTATTTAGGAATATGAGCAATACCTCCTTCACTAGCTTGCAAGCTCCAACACAGACCGAAACCAATATTTGGATTCAAAGGAGAATGACCAATTTCTTCAAGAAACCATACTCTTGAAGAAATCAGTCTTGAATCTGACCTAGATATAAATGAGAGAATGATTTAAGTAGCTAGATACAGATTCGGGTTTCAAAAGCAGTTTTTCAAAAAGAAATCAATTGGAAAAACTTATAGATGAAACAAGATGGTTCTCTCGAGGAAGAAGAAGCGAAAGATGGCAAGCCAAACTTTCCAAAACTTCAACCCAAAAAAGACAGCTGCCAAATGACCAAAAATGTAGCCTTTATAGCCAAAAAATTCCTTAGGTCAGAAAACACAGATGACAGCAGAGAGAGAGAAAGAGGAATAGGACAAAACAGTTTGTTATCCAACTAGAAATCCAACAGAGCGAGGATGACGAGTCATCTGAGAAATGGATGACTAGTCATCATTTTTATGAAGACTGTTTTATGAAATGATATGCAATGCACAATACCTTTGTCAACTTGCTTGAACCTCCATAGAGCATAAGTTAAAGAAGAGCACCAAGAAAGGTTTTCCTTAATCTAAACTTGAGCTTGATAAATAACAAAACACATCCTATTACAAAGTTGTCAAGGGAAGCCAAAAGAAAATAGTAAAAACCATACATTAACAATCTCCCCCTTTTTGGCTTTCCTTGACAACACACTCTCTAAGAACACTCAACCCAAAACTGAAACTAAGGAGATGATGGAGTGAAAGTACCTGCAAGAACAACCAATCTCCCCAGCACAAAAACAAGCATATTATCACAGAAATTTTTAAAACACAGGCACAAAAACAAGCATATTATCACAGAAATTTTAAAACAATATGAAATGTGGGGTTGAGAGTGTTCTCCGCCTTATTGATAAGGAAAGTGCGAAAAGGCTGATAGAAATAGCATACAAAAGGGTTTAACAGCAAAAGGATAGGCAGATATGAACAAGGTTAACAACACATAACTTAGATTGATGACTAGTCAAATAACAGTTGTTTAAAACAGTACAGAACATAGATTTATGACTAGTCAAATACCAGTTGTTCAAAACTTGACAGAACAACTCCCCTTATCACAATGCACAGACTACCCACAATGTGTTTACAAAAACAATTTCCCCTATCAAAATGCACAACCTGTCCAAAATTAATCTTCCTATCTAGGACACAGCCACTAACAACACTGTAGCTAAAAAACTAAAGAACCACCAGAATCAACAGAATCCACAGAATCATCTGAGTCTTCAACAATGGCAGAAGCAGGCTGAGTATCTGCATCAGCAACAGCAGAAGCAGTTGTAGGAGTCGAAGAGGATGGAATGAGGCTCAAAAGATGCTGAATATACTCCTCCTTGGCAGCCAGCTGAGCTCTGAGAGAGGCATTCTCAGAGGAAGACGACACAGAAGTGAGAAAGGTCCTGGAAACTCTCTGGCTAAGGGCAGCAGAGGCCTTGCCATAAGGAGCAATGGGGGGATGCCACTGATCGGAATCAAGAAATGCCACCCCATTTTTCTCACAAAGGCGCTGAATCAGACAGGGAAACACAAGAGTCCCCTTGTGCTTGGTACCATGACCAATGGTTTTCCCAAGAATGGCATTATATAGGATATCACCAAGGGGAATTTTATCATGATTCACCATGGATATCATGAGTTGGCAGGCAGCAAGAGTGGGATTAGAATTGTTCCCAGTGGGGAGAACATTATGACGGATAAAATCCCACAAAAATTTATAAAAAGGGGACAGGTAAGACTTGATAGGCAGACCTTTAGAGGTCAAAGGCAAAGATTGATCAGTGTATGCCATGGATTTAAAAAGATCAACAGAGTATTCAGCAGAAGCAAGAGCAAATTTTGCAAAATCAAAACCAGGGCATGATCGAAAACCTAAGACCCGATTGATAACAGATGGTTTCAGAGTAATGGGTACTGACCTAACCAAAATCTGATACTTGGACTCCTTAGGGTCAGTAGGAAAGTTAGAGTAAAATTCTTGAACAACAGGGATGTTAAACTTACTAGACAGAGAATTTAGGGCTTGAAGGTGGTAGTGCTCCAAAATCTGATTTGCAGACTCCTGAGCCGCCAAGGGAACAGCATCAAATTGATAAGTCCTCTCAGGAATGAATTTTCTCTTTGAGACAACCTCATCAAAGAAGGAGGCAGCCGCAGAAGACACAAAAGGAGAGGAATTTCCAACAGGAATAGAGGAAGAAGGACGGGTTCTAGGAGCCCTAGGAATTGACGGATTGAAATCCACCCTGTCAGTGGATTTTGATTTGGAGCGACGGTGGTAAGTGTGGAGAGGCTTGGAGGAAGACATGGTCAGCAGCGGGAAGAAATTTAGAAGAGAAAACAAATGGAAGAAGGGGCGAAGAGACCAGAACAGAGTGAGAGGGAAAGAAAAAACCGAAATGGGGAAACCAACGCAACTGACCGAGAAAAGGAAAAAAAAAAACCTAAAAAAGAAAAAAGGCGCAAACGACACGACCTAAAAAAAAAAGAACCGCTCAGAACCAAAAGTGGAAAAAAAATAACCGCCAAAACGAAAAATGAAAAAAGACGCATCGGTTAGGGAACAAATCAGATGACTAGTCAACCACAAGCAAGATGACTAGTCAACCCAGGCAAACTTTGCACAGGCAGAGCCGGATGACTAGACAATCACAAGTATGATGACTAGTCAACCACAATATGATGACCAGTCAACTAATGCAATATGAGAAAGAACAGCAAGGCAAACCATCCAGATGACTAGGCAACCATAAGCATAGATGACTAGGCAACTAAACCAGCATTATGACAAACACCAAATAATATCGACCCTGTGAAAGACATGATTTTGGTTCTTTTTTTTTTTTTTTTATTTTTTTATTTTATTTTTATTTTTAAAATTTGATTATTATGAAATTATAAGCACGATACTTTAGATATTGATGTTGTTAATCGTACTGCTGCTGAGGCTTATCTAATTTTCTTTCATTAAAAAATAGATCAATTGGCGCGGGCGAGGAGAACAGAGTTAAAGCAAAGCCCATTCGAGCCCGGAATCTATCCGAAACAGAGATCAGGGCCCTACTTGCACATCCCGAACATAAGTGCTTTGAATGGCCCAATTTTACGGCTCTTTGCTCTAGATTCTTCAATCAAAACACCTTATACCTTCCTAGAGCCGTGACTACATTGGTCACACTTCCCCTTTTTTTTTTTTTTTTGTTTTTTTTTTTTGTTTTGTTTTTTTTTGTTTTTGTTTTTTATTTAAATTTCAAATAGATTGGCTAAGAGAGTGAGACCAGCTAAGAGAGAATAACAAGAACAGTCCAAAATGAAGCCGAGATACATGGCTCACCAAGAGGACAAGATAGCAAGATTTTGGTCTCAACTAACAGCTCAAAAACAAGAAAAAGGGATTATGCACAAGTCAAACAAAGCACAAAAACATTCAGCATGCATACCAGCAGAGATGAGTGATATGAACAGTGACATACTAGACTAGGCAACTGACAAGCAAGATGACTAGTCAACTGTTTGGAAGTGTGCTGAAGACAAGGAGCAGACTAGCTAATCAATCAATGGAACAAAGGCCAATGGATTGCCTCAGTGTACCATGTTTCTGAAAGTCCAAGGCCTTGGTGAGTATATCTGCTAGCTGTTTTTCCGAGGGAACAAATTCCAAAGATAAAATTTTGTCTTCCACAAGATCTCTAATAAAATGGTGCCGAATGTCGATATGCTTAGTCCTAGAGTGTTGAACAGGATTTTTTGAAATATCTATGGCACTCATGTTGTCACAATAGATTAGAAAACATGATTGAGCAAGACCATAGTCTTCCAACATTTGTCGCATCCAAAGGAGTTGAGTACAACAACTCCCAGCAGCAACATACTCTGCTTCAGCAGTGGATAAGGAGACAGAATTCTGTTTTTTGCTATGCCAAGCAACAAGATTGTTGCCTACATAGAAAACCCCCCCGGAAGTGCTTTTCCTATCATCACTACAACCTGCCCAATCGGCATCACTATACCCAACAAGATTGACACAAGTGTCATAGGTATACCACAACCCAAACTCACTAGTCCCACTCACATATTTTATAATTCTCTTAACAGCAAACAAGTGAGACTCTTTTGGGTCACTTTGAAACCGAGCACATACACCAACACTAAAAGAAATGTCAGGTCTACTAGCAGTCAAGTAGAGAAGACTTCCTATCATGCTTCTATAGAGAGTTTGATCCACACTTTTGCCATGCAAGTCTCTATGAATCTTAGCACTAGTGCTCATCGGAGTTCTTGCAGATTTGGCACCTTCCAAACCAAATTTTGTCACAAGATTCTTTGCATATTTAGATTGGGATACAAAGATCCCATCATGGCTCTGTTTAATTTGGAGACCTAAGAAATAATTAAGCTCACCGACAAGACTCATTTCAAATTCACTAGTCATGACATGAATAAAATCTTGAACAT